TTGATACTTCGCCGTTCTTCGTGTTGTTGTTGTTGTTGTTGTTCTTCTTCTTCTTCTTCTTCTCCTTGTTTTATTGGCGGGTTGCGAGCTGAGCTGGGAGCTGCTTGACCTGACAACTGGGGTGGCATAATAAATTGTGGGGGGCCAAGAAATGTCCCCACGGGCCAAAACAAATGTGCCCCACTTTGGGCACCCCTGTTTCACATACTTACTCACACACACTTGCAGGGGCAAACACACACACACACACACACACTTAGGCAGAGCGTGAGTCATGCCCCATCTAAGTGTGGCTCATTTATCAGGCTGCTGTGAACAGAAATAGGAAGAAGGCAAAAACACAAATGTCTCTCTCATTTTTAGAGACTATGTCCAAGCCTCTCAACTCTTCTTTATCTTACAGTACAATTTACTGTATCAAAAGGAAAGTGGAAAACGACAAGAGAAGGAGGGAGCATGAGACTAAAGCAGACAAAAACAGTGAGCCTTTGTTGAAGAGGGGATGAAGACAGAATTGAGAGAGAGAAGTGAGCGTAAGGTTGAGACACTCTCCCTCTCTCCCTCTCTCTTTCTTTCTCACACATGGTAGCGGACAGCTGTTGGGGATACCGCTGCTGGTCTCTAAATTTAGCTCAGCTGACTGGATTTGCACACACATACACAGAAAGCTAAGACTAGCCAAAATGTCCTCACTTCCCAAAAATGTCTTCACTTCTCAAGTTAAACTGGCTCTCACAAAGATAGCTACACACACACATGCCCCCTATGAATGAGGGGCAAGTCCTCAGATTCATGAACTTGATCTCTCCATAAAGTGAGTTAAACCAAATCTGTCATTCTACAAACTCATAATACTGTTTTCACACACATACACACCAGCCACTATGTGTGCACAGCATGAGTGTGTGTCTGTTAAGCCTACATATGAGTGAATTATCTTGAGTTATGCGGATCTGAGTGGTTATTCTCCCACCCCCGGCACCCATTAACATTTAGCCTTCCTCCATGTAGCACCAGACTTCTAAGAATCAGTGCTTTGGAGAGCAAGAGACCTAAAAAGCGATTATACTATGTGAATTAGATATAAAGAGGTGAAACAAGGACAAAGAGAGAAGGAAAGAAAACAGATCTGATACCAATAATATTTACAGGAAACCTAGTTTAACACGAAGCCCTCCCCCAGAAAAATCTAGCAGACTCATCTGCATAATCCTAAAAAAGAGCATTTCTCAGCAAAAACAATTCCTGTAGGTGGTTTGAGTGGATCCAGCAGAAGACCGACTGGCACAGAGGTGGGTCTGTGACAAGAACAGCCACAGCTTGATTCCCAGTATCAGGGCAAATCTAGCCGGGGGGAGATGACAGAGAAGCGCTCTCTACTCGCCTACAATTACAGCTCGAAGCACAGACAGTAAGGAAGTGAAGGTTCAGCTGTGGTTCTGCTTTCGTAGGAAAATATCAATGGAGAATTCTTGTTCTTTTTTTCTAGCAGTTTCTCTCTCGGTTTCTCTCATCCACACAGATATACACATTCACAACTGAGAGCTGCCAGGTTTGCGGTTGTTAGCCACAAAGTAGCTTCACTGCCAGGTTCACTGCAGGAGTTGATCACAAGCTTCTTTCACTGAGTCTTTGAAACAGCAGTTTTGTTTACAGGTACATAATAAGCATTCTATTGTGTTCCCTCTCACTCTATTTCTCTCTCTAGCCCCCAAACCAAGAAATATGCTGTTTAGCTGGAACAGAAGGAAATTTTGGCCCTCAGTAATATCAGCCGACATTACAGTCTTTAGTGCTACAGCAATGATTACTTATGCTCTAAATCATCACTGCTAAAACTCAGTCCACCCTGACTAAGTGCCTCACAGAAATAAAATCTTTGTACATTTGTTGTTACACTCAGATAGTTGACCTGAATACTTAACATGTATTTTTACCTTCTGGATGTGTATGGTACTCACCATGGGAAACAGTTGATCCGTACCCTGTTCTTGTAAACCATAATGCCGGCAGATGTCACCCCAATGAGAATCTCTGTATTACTCTGGTCCTGAAGAGAGGGGAACAGAGTGCATGTTTAGCAGGGGTGGCAGCAGGGGAGCCGAACAGAGACACCGAAACAGTAGGAGAGGACAATGTGCAAGGTTTGTTTTCTATTTAACCTTCATTTCAACAGGAAGTCTCACTGAGATAAAGATCTCTTTTTCAAGAGACCTGGCCAAGATGGCAGCCATACACATTTACAAGACACTAAATTCAACGCAAACAAAAACTCCATTCACAAAATAAAAACAGACTCTTATTATGTGTTTAAATTCTACAAGACTTTGCATTTGTAATGAAATACAAGGATGCATGGTACACTGAATCAAGGCTTCATAGAGTAGAGGCGACTGCATGCATATACAGTATAGCGCCATAATCAATCGCAGGTAGAAAGGTAGTTTCCACCAGTTTAAGATTTATTTCTAAAATAAAAGCCAGTCTTCATCTTCTTCCGTGTTTGGATACGCTTCCTGTCTGCTACATTTCAAGTACAGCTATCTGAAAACAGCCAGACCTTGTCTTGTTTTGTTTTATGAATACAAGGCAAATTTTCTAAGGGTTTTGATTCATTTTCCTTAATAATCATGAATAGTTTAAACTGGAAAATCAGGCTCAAGACTGGTTTGGTCTGGCTGGGGACACCGTTTTGCTTACTCCACAGAAAATTGCTTTATTTTGATACTGAACACTAATGTGTGGCATTTCTGTAGGATGTGGACATCACAGTACAGCTCCTCCAACGTGCACTCCTTCCCACTGAGGCAGGCTGCTTGGCTCCTCAGCTCATAATAATAAAACTACTGACCGTGTTGTAACAGTGAGGGAGGGAAAACCTTTTGCAGATAGAGACTTCATGATATCAACTTGAATAACAATGGCTGAAGGTGGATATGAACTAAATTATCTTGTTCTGCTCAGGTCTTTGTGGAAAAAACATGACCCATTAGGTAAACAGCAGCAAACACAAACTGTATATACAATACTCTTTAACACACACACACACACCAAAACAGGCAAGAAGACATGAAACAACCTGACTTACCCTTGCATAGTGCAGCTCTACCCCATAGAGCTCCAGCGTACGTGCTGTGTTCAGATAATTAAACTCTGACTGGGCAGGAGATAGACCACTGAGAGAGAGTAGGGTTGAAAGACAGACAGGGAGGGGGGTTGTGCGGGGGAGGAAAGGGAGCGAGGATGCCAGGATAGGCAGGGTGAGAGCATGTTCCAGAGAGACAGAATTAAGAAAAAAAGGCAATTGCAAAGAAAATTAAGAAATGGTCAGATAAACTGTAGCATAAACACAGTCTCTGTTGCAAAACTAATTAAATGCAACAACAAATTACAACAGCATTTCACTTGGCAGTGACTTTCCTGAACAGACACGTGTTTATCTGGACACACAGAACTCCTTTCAGGTCCAGTTGAATGTCTTAGTTCCTTCAGGTTTGTACATGGACTTGATTGTGTGTGGGATCACAGCTGGTTTTGTGTGTATCTCAGTGTACCTGTGCTGCTGGTGATGTTTGGCGACCTCTTTGTGGAAGTCCTGTGGAGGGTTGGGGATGAAACAGTAGTCAGACAAATAGCCTGAACTATGCTCTGTTTCACTGTAATCCCCCAGTTCAGCTGCACAGAAATAAAGAGAGAGGGAGAAAGAGAGATTGGTACAATGTCAATTTAACAGGCAGAGAGGAGGAAAGACAAAATGAGACAACATCGGGGATGACAGAGGCCTGCACTCATCGTGCACAGGTATGCTTCATAAATATCGCTTTAGAAACATTTCTATGGCACTGGATTGTAACGAATCTGTCTTCTATCCTGGGGCAGAGCCAATATACCCTGTTGCCAGTGAAAACCATTTAGCCAATGCTGATCATAACCATCCTCATTAACCAAAATAGCACCAACCACAGACATACAGAAACCTTTTCATCAACATCCTTAGTTAAATTTCTGCTTGATAATTGACCTTCTTCCTCTGAACTTTCTCAAACAACCATGATCTCACACTTGCAATCTTCCTGCAATCTACTTTACTTAGTGGTGTGCATTTACTGACACAAGAAGGTGCTGGAACAATCACTCACTGGTGACAAAAAATAATGAGTCTTCACACCTTAGCTGCAAATTTTCTCATAGCCTCTGACAAGTATCTTCTATGAAAAGTGCACAGTATCACAACAAGCAACACACAGAATAAGCACAGCGTATGGATGTTGTATATAAGTGCACAGGTGTGTCTGTGTGTGTTACCAAGAGCTAACACAACCATATTTTATCATATTATTAAAGATGAAGAAAAGAGTAATTGTAGATAACAAGCAGGAGTAAGATGATTCCCAGATCGCTGGTAGCTTTCAGAGCAAACTCCCAAAGCCATATGCTCACTAGCTAGCAGTGAAAGCACAAACATAGTATCAATTCACTAACCAACTACTTGGGCGACTAGGCATATTGACCGATGAATCAATTCCAGCTCAACTGCATATTGATGTGGACACAGCTCTAGGGAGACATCCATGTACAGCAGACAGCTTACATCTCAGTGGAGTTGGATAATGTTGCTTTTACTTCAGGCTTCAGTTATTACTTTTAGCATGTTTAATGTGAAGCACAAAGACTAGCTGACAACCTGATCTCTCTTTTTATAGTTATCATCTGATGTGAAATCCATACTCAGCTGTAGTTTGGCTCAAATTGGGAGAGACTAGGTTCGGGCTTCCTATTATGATGTTTACTGATCAACAAAGCACAAAACAAGCCATTTGACCCTATTTGTGACGATGGATTTACAGGCATTGTAAAACAAAACTGTCAACTGCCAAAACTCATTTATTGGATGAGTAACTCTTTTTGCAAAACTTTAAACAATATTCACCTGGTTACACAAAATTTTCAGATCTGATTCAGTCTTTTTGCAAAGCTCTGAATAAGTCACTAAAACATACTGTGCACTGTGATGCACTTGTTATGCACAATGGTAAACACAGGTGGCAGAAGTTAAATAGAGTTTCAGCACAGCTGTCATAGTTTCCACACTATGACTCAAAGTTGTTCACACTTGTTGCTAATTATGAACTCAGAGTGCCCACGTGGAAGACGTGATTTGAAGTTGAAACCAACAATGGATAGGAACAATCAGAGGCAGAGGAGGAAGAGTGTGTGTAAGAGATGGTGTATGAGGAGGAAGAGGAGGCCAGGAGGGTGTTGCCTGAGATGTGGACGGAGCCCTCTGGCCTGACCCCGCTCAAGGATGTGATGCTGAGACAAAGGCCGAATGAATCACTTGTTGATGTTGATTTTCCAGTGTACTGTAATAAGCTTTTTAGATACAGTTCATTTTGTCTTTGTCCTGGAAGGCTTCAAGAAATGTGTCTCAACAGTTCTGAAAACCTGTATTAACAATTAACACTGGACTGAAAACCTAACCTACCCAAGCTATGTTTACTCCCCCAAACATCCTCCACTGTCAACATGAATAAATTAACAAATTCAACACCATGCAACTCTATGAAAACCAGCTTTAAAGATGTCAGTGTTTGGTGATGCAATAGCTTCTGGAGATACGAACAGCTGCATTACACAAGCCCACATCTGCTGTTTTAAAATAAAGAAATTGTGTCAGTTTGTCTTTAACAAAACACCTTTACTGCTGAGGAAGGCGTTGCTATGGCTTCCAGACTGGGTGAGATTTATGGTGTTTGAAAACCCAAGATTGAGTGTGGGATTTAGAGCGATCAGTGATGGCACTTGAGCTGAGCTAACTAAACTGGCAGCACAGCAGCTGCTTCAAGCCGTTTTTCCAAACACAAACATTTATCCTCATAATCTGGGCTGGCACTAAGCGAAGTGACAATGTGGATCCAGCTACATAGTGTATGTGTGCAAGTGTGTAAAAGTAGTGTCATGATGTTGGGAGTCTAGGCCAAATCTCTTCTCTGACCTATTTACTGCTGCAGTGCAAATTCCACAAAATATACACCAGAGAAGTGGAGTGGAGCGGGACAAGAGAGGCGGAGGGAGGAGAAAAACTCAGAGATAAAAAAACAGACCAGAAAAACAGGCTGCAAGAAAACAACGAGCAGCGGTAAAAGAGAGACAGCGTGTCAGGAGCCATTATTCTGATGACAGAGGGGCCCAGTCAACATTTAGCCCAAATGCTAAATCACAGCACCAGATGAGATTAGCACTGAGGCTGCATGTCCACTGGCACAGACCGGTCTGTAGATCTGCATGTTGCTTTTTTTTTTTTTTTTAAACTAGTGGGTTTGGAAAACATAGGAGGTGTTAAAATAGGTGAAAATGTGTGAAAAAGCAAAGAAAACAAAAACAGCGCACCACAGTGGAACACTCCATTTTATTCAGTTGCCAACTGCATGATATAGCAATGTTTAGGCCATCAATAACAAGTAGGAAATGAAGGATAATGCCTGTTATCTACACCTGTTACCCTAAAACATCCGCTGGGCTGTATGCTTACATGACTCTCTAGAACGTTTGGTCAGTAAGACTGATTTTGAACTAGTCCTTATTGAAAGAACAAGTCATGGTCTCATAGAATATTTATATCACTTCAGTCGATATCAAATACCACCACACAGCTTAATTGAATCGTAATGGCTTCAGAGAAGCAGCGATAACTGCAACAACCACAGTCATAACATTTAACAGCGTGTGTGTGTGTGTGTGTGTGTGTGTGTGTGGCTAAGGAGAGGCCTAATGAATTGCCTTTCCATTGTTATGTAGAGTGGGTGTATCCGGGGAGCACTACTTACATTGAACAGCATAGGATGCCAGCAGTGCAGCTGTGTTGTGTGGACAGGGCAATCTGGAAGCAACAGGAACACACACACAAAGCGACACACAGATGATTCAGCATTGGATCAACACAAAAGACATAGTTCTTTCACCCACTACCGTCCCTCATTAAAACCAACATTACTGCAGTGACAACAGTTCTATAAGGGCATCTAGCAGCTCTTTATCAGGCAGGATGTTCTCCCCATGTCAAAACAGCAACATACTCACCTTCCAGTTAAAATATCTTGCTTGATCTGAAGAAAATATTGGTACCTGAGGGGCACAACACACTGCATTAGGTTATGAGACCAGTAAGCCATCGTCTGTGTAAATGGAATATAATATGATGTCAAGACAAGCAGCCAACAGATGCAAGCCAGTCAGATTACAATGTTAACACTGATAATATGCCTGTTGAAAATAATGTCCCCCCGGGTCATCAGTATTATGTAATAAAATGCTGCTGACACCACCGATGTCATAAACACAGCACGGCGAGGAGTGTGCTGGCTGAGACTTGTGGAATTCACAAAACACTAGATCAGCATGTCAGATCCAAGGCTCACTATTCACCGTTACAAGCTGTAAACAAAGTGTTGATAAGGCTCAGAGAGCGTGGCCACGACTGAGAAGCTGAAACAAACACCAGGGAGAAAATAGGATATGGCACTGTGACACCTCCTCTGCATGTTGTTTATGTAGAGCGCAGTGTTACAGAGCTTATGTTTGCAGAACTGTGGGTTGGAGTCCACATTATGGCCTTGATACAAAACAAACCGGCATTTAATTTTCTCTAATGAGCCTTCATCAAGCGAGGCAGTGAAGCCCTGGTCCTCGGATTCCAATTGCAATGATTAGATCCCAAAAGGTCTTTTCAGAAAACCAAGCATTAGGTTAAGAAAAGTATTTACTCATTATAATCACACAGTATGCAACATGTCCCTTCTTCGGTGACAAGCTCTGGGACATTATGTGCCATATTTACAACTGTGAGTGGCACCTAGACTTTAAGAGCCCATGGCGCTTTTTCTTGTTTTCTGACTTATCTGCAAATTTACAACAGTGAATTAACAGCTTAGCCGTGACCTAAAGCTCGAAAAATTAGGTGTACATACTGTATGTTCTAATATTCCTATGCAGAAGCAACTCTGTTTATATACGCCTCACAAACTCTCGCTTGCGAGACTTTTTTCTAATAGAATAAAGTATTACGTGATAGTTTAAGGATTTCCTTGAATGGGCATACAATCCAGGCCGCTGCATGTTCATGTGAGTTTGCCTGACATCCACCTGTGCCCCCACCATATTAGCAAAATGTTATTTTATTATGTATGTTTCTAGTAAAGCTTATTTAAAAAAATAAAAATAAAAAAAACAATACACACACACACACACACACAACAATGTTCCGTGTTAGTACTTACAACACAGAACATTTTCAGATTTGCAGTCCCTTGTCTCAAACACCATTAGATAATACTGAGCATTTACGTGAGTGGTCCTCAGTACAACAACAACAACAACAACAACGTTTACTCAGTTAAATGTATTCTCTTACCGTGTGTATTCTTCCTGAAGTTTACTGGGGTCTGACACAAAGAATTTGACTCTGAAGCTCAAATTATGGGGAGACCCTCCTGAAACAAAGAATGACAGTTAGAGGGACAAAACAACTTGGCAGAAATTATAATATACTGGGGAGGATGCCTGTGCTTGATTTAGAGAACACTGGCTGTACTGTGATTACTAGTTTCAATGTTCTACTTGTATCTAAGGCCACATTCAGACTGAGTTTCAAAGGTGTGAAAAAACACAGCCCTCTCCATTCATTTGTGCAGGAGGACTACGTTCACTGCAGCTGGCATCAGCACCGTCAAAATGTCACAGCGCCAACTTTTGCCACACTGGATGATGACATCATCTGTCAAAAGGGCTGCATTGACCAATCATGTACGGGGGATGGTCAGCATGTGGACACCCATGGGTAGGAGACTCTTTTGTTTACCTTATTAGCATGATCATTAAATGCTATCCACTCTGATACTTGGGCCACAGTTAATGCATCATAATGACATAGTATGCATGTTCAGTGCTTTTTATCTATCAAGGTAGAGTAGGCTGCGTTAGCATCTTGGCTAAGTAAAACATAATGGAAACTCCCAGGCTGGAAACATGAATGAAGCCACTCAAGCTGACTCGTCTCAGCATGGCCATACCGTATATGCCTACAACACTCCAACTGCAACCCCTCACCCTCCTGACCAATGCAGCAGCCCCTTGCATAAAAACACAGTAGTGAGTTGTGATTTACCACGCTCAGTCTGAATGCCTGCTAAGATTGTAAAGATCTATAAGTGTGTGGAACATTTATTTCTATTACCAAAAACATGTTATTGGCATTATATTTATTTCTATTACCAAAAACATGTTACTGGCATTATACTGTACTGTACATATTTTTTATGAGCCTACATTTCTACGAATGCATCAGCCTCTGTTCTTGCACTGTGTAAAATACAAATCCCTGTGTTCCTCCTCAATGACTCAGTCACTCAGCATAGCATCATGAGTTGAAGCTCAGTTCAATCATTGCTGGAGGAGAACTGCTGCTGCTTCTTAATTGTTCCACATGTTTCAAATAAGAGTTGAGATGAAGTTTAATCATTGCTTAAGGGAGATTCAGAATTTTAAATCCAGAGACTTTAGCTTGAGGTGGAGTGTGGACTTTCCTCCATCAGTGAGACTGAGCTGCAGACTACTGCTTCACCTGGCTGGTTACATTTAAGTACGATGTGAGTGAACGTTCTTGGTGTTAGGACCTTTTGTTGTTTGCTTAAGGTGGACAGGACTGGTCAGTTTTAGGTGGTGTGTTGTAGATTTCACCTACTTTTCAACTGTTTCCTGATGGGCTTGTTGGGATCGAGCCAGCGCTGTAAAAAATTGATTAAGAGACACTTAGAGACACCACAATGCTTCGACAGCATGACTACACAACATAAATTATTCACCAGTAACCACACACACACACACACCTGTCAGAAATCCTCAAACACTGTGTGCATGGATGAAAACCCACACCCATACATACTGTACACACTGACATATAGTCAACGTACAGTCTAGACCGATATTTACACACAGACACATGTATCAGATTTTTATGAGACTGACCCAAATACAGAGCATCTCCAGAGTCCTCTTACAGGGCTCTGGAGTATTAATGTATTAACCTCAACTAAGGACGTATTAACGTCTTGCAGGCTAACACATGCATCCACATGTGAACGCACACACTTTCAGATGGCCTTCTGTTAATGTAATATCAAAATCAAAACACTTGCATTTCATGGCAACGTCCAGTTGAGATATTATGGATGGAAAAGTCTACCTAACAATGCTCACAACCCAAAAGACAAACACACACACTCCTGTAAAGTAAATAAATAAATGATACTGACTGGTGCGTCTGACGAGTCATCAGTCAAGTGCAGGCCAAAGTAATCTCTCTCAGTCAGCTCCAGGTGCTTAAAGACAGCATCCAGCAACACCTGGCCATGATCCGACTTCTGCAGAGAGGAACAGAAAACACTTGGTCCATCAGATTACATAAAGAACCACACCTTTGCCTCGTCACTGAGCAAACAGTAAGGGCACGTGACTGAGATGTGATTAAACCACGTCCTGTCTGTGCCACACTGAAGATGAGACTGAAGCACGGGGTTGGGAAAATCCCTTTGCTTCCACAAACTTCAAATAAGCACTCACACTGCTACAGAAGCATTTCATCCTCACTGGTATCGGCCCGACCACATGGGGCAGAACATGGCTTGTTTAATGACAATAACACCATCTGACATCTCTCTACCAATTTAGCAAAGTTATAAAGCTCTAATTAACATAGTATTCCTACTACAAACCTGCATGATGAAAGTGTTAGCGATTTACACCTGTGGATTCATCTTTTTTTTTATGTAGGTTAACTATCTGCCATCAGTCATTATTTCTGCACCGCAGATACTAAAAAGTTGTGACTTCTGAGACAGAAGCAGAAAACACAAAGAGAGGCAAAAAGAAAAACACAATTTACTTCAACAGTACAAAGTATACTACATTATACAGAAACACTAGACCTAATAAGCCTATATCCTCCCTTGATGTGAACCTATTAGCATAAAATAAGAGTTATACATTTTCACAGAGCAATACGTTTCACTTGCTTTTCCACTCAGTAAAAATGGCAAAATTATAATGAGATGAGCAGCAGAGAGAGAAGAGTCAGTTACTACTAAAAATTATTATGAAAAAAGAAAGAGAGACAAAACTGACACAGTCCATCATCCATCTGTGGTGAAGCTGGAACGAAGGAGAGACGTGGAAAAAGGAAGAGGAAAGACAGAGTTCAGGAAAGTGATTGAGTCCTAGGCGCTTTAATGTGGCCAGTAGCTACAGAACCAGAAACACCTCAACCACAACATGTACAGGCTTCTCAACACATGCGCTTAATAAACCAGTCCAGCTTAATCCAGTATCTAAACCGTGTTTATTTAGAAAAGGAACTAAAGATGGAAACACAACTACAACACTGCAGCCCACACATTTTGGGAATGGTAACATTACAGTATTGTCACGTCCAAACTGTTGTATTCTTGCAATAGAACCAGTCAATAAATTGTCATAATAAACAGAAGCTAAAGAAAAATGAAAATAAGGTGGTAAAAGAAAAAAAACATGACAGAGAGGGATGGACAGACAAGGGGAGGAGAAGGCAGAGATGAGGATTAATGCCATAATAATAGAAAAAGGGAGGAACGATGTATTAAACAGTCTGTTAGTATCACACTGTTTCATGAGAGAGTAGGAAGGGCGACAGGATAAACTGTGGGACCACAAGTGGAGCAGAAATTTACACCTGATCCTGCCACGGACTGTAACTCTATCACAGCTCCCAAAGGAGAACGCACAGAACACACACACTGCTCTTGTCCACCTCTCCCCTTTCTCTAAGTGACACACCTTTTACAGCTCAGCTTATGTGAGTAAAATGTGTGTGTGTACGTGTGTTTGTGTGTGAGGTGAGAGCAAATGGAATGACAATTGAGAAGGTAGCCCTCTGGGATCACCAGCGTACACCAGGTCTTTTCCTGGTGCGCACTGCTGTGCACGTGTGTCAGCCATCTACTACTGTCAAAGCCTTGTTAAGTGTGAGTCAGCTCTGAAACCCTTTGTGCTCACTTCCCTACATCTTTACTACAGCGTCTGGACGATGCGAAAAGAAAATTCTGGGTTTGATAAGTCGTTACGCCATTTTTATTTCAACATTAAAATCTCATACTACATTAGTGTTGGAGGATTTGTAAATATACAGTTAGCCTTTTTCCGTTTCTGCCTTTTATCGGCATAAAGCCACTGAAAATGCATCTTTGTTCTCCAACACAGCTCAACCCAAAAACACTGGCGTTTTGTTGTGCTGCTGTGACCTAAAAAAAAAAAAATTGTATTTATAATAATACATCTGACTGACATGACGTGCTATTTCTGTCTTTTCTGTCGTTTCACTTTTCAATCGAGGATCAACTTGTTAAAAAATGCATGTGTGGACAAATTAGCGGTAACATCAGAGATTTCCTGACAGGGCAACAAATAGACTGGCTACTTCAGTTTCAGGCTGACGAACAGAAAAACCACCCGAAACATCTGATGATTTAACCAACTGACCGGGGTGAAGAGACAAAATGTGGAAGTGAAAACACATGCAAACCTTTGATATGATGCTTCACCAAGTGCAGCTATTCACACACTAGTCTGAGACTGTGATTTTCTGTGAGAGTGTGCCCACTGCTTCCCCTTTGTATGAACCAGCTTTTCAAGCTGGATGTGGGTGCCCTCTGTGTACTTCTTACACCCCTCGACCCCTGGAAACCCATTACTGCTCTGTGTGTGTCTGTGGGTGGGTGTGTGTAGGTGCTAACCTCATCTGGTATTCTAAAAGCATGAGAGCCAAATGTGCAGTGGCTGCAAATGCAAGAGGAAACAGCTATACATCAGCTATACATTGTTAAAACTGAGCCAGGAACACAGGCACGCATGTCTACACACACACACACACACACACACACACACACACACACACACACACACTTTCACATTTTTCGCTATACTCTGACAAACTACGATGGCAGCAGCTCCATACTGTGGCTACCTTGTGGACTGGCTACTCAAGCAAAAAGAAAAAGAACAAGTGAAAACAAAAATAAGAGGAAGACAGAGAGTCACAGACATGTAGAGAGGGGGGAAAAGAGAAAAGGAGTGACTGACGACCCACTGCGTGAGATAAACACTCTTTGTGCAGTTCACCAGCTCCACTAACTGAAAGTGTCTGTGTGTGTGAGAGAGAAGACAGAAAAGAGAGATGTGGCGATAGAGAGAAATCAAAGCACAAGGGGCTGGCTGAGAAAGTGCGAGCGGGAGATGCTCTGGTACATTTTTATGTTTCACCCTTTGGGTTCAGGGTTTATCTGCAGTGCAAGAGGGGAGGACGTCCCCAGACATCAGTAACACTGAAATCCAAAGTGACATTAGAGGGAAAGCACCACTGTTTCCATGGCAGGTTAAGAATTTGCTTCCCTGCCTTACACACCTGAATATGGTGTTTGTGTCAAAGAAGGATGGAAATTCAGGAATGTGTGAGGAAGCTTGTCCTGACAGGAAGAGACTACGTGAAGGAGGAGAAGTTGACATGTACCTGTGTGCTTGCTTAGCCTCCTCATATCTGTGTTGTGGTAGAAGGTTACATTACTTTCTGTCTATGAATAACCAGTGAACATTTTCTGCATATGAATGTTAAGAGGCCATAGGGTTCAGCCACTACAGAAACCACAGCTGTTCAGACTAAATGTCTAAGGCTCTCATCGTCAGCAGGTTATTTCCCCAACCTTCGTGTCTATTCCATTCAGAGGCCTCATTCAGCACTAAGTTACAAGCCTTTTGACAGCATTGCCCCTTGCTGCTCATTACTAACAGCTACTTGGTTATCAAACAGCACTTGCAGATAGCTGGGTGTTTATGTGGTATGTAGTGGCTACTATGGATACTACTGCATTTGTCACTGAGAATAAATCCTTCTTCTGGCCCTGCTTTGGTACTGAGATGGATCAGTAACGGACCATTTTTGATTTCTTAACTTCTATCAAGCATTCAAGCTGCACCAGGTTCTGCTGCATACTGCTTTGTTTCAGTCGCCAAAGGCTTCCCATCTCTAAGGTCATCAGTACAAGCCTTCATGCGCACCCCTAGCGCCATGAGCATTCCGGTTTCCATGACAATAAGCGACTGCTCTGGAACGTCACTCTCCACTAGAATCAAGGCCAGCCGGCCAGTGAGAGGATCAACAGAAGTATTCTTGCTCTCAGGATGGCTTGCCTTTCCAGGAAGTTACTGCTGCTGCAGGGGTCTGATCAATGACACTGTCAGAGAGACTGACAGTGACCGAGGTGGTGGTAAGTGGTGGGGAGACGCAGCCTGGAGCGGCAAGCAGAGAGGGAGGAAAAGAAATAAGGGGAGTAAAGATTTTATAGACAACAGTGAAAGAGAGATTCACAAGTATCACTAAAGTTATCATCCTGATGACTTTGCAGCTGTGCTCATAGGTGCAAGTACAATGATTTCAGTGTTTAGAACAACAAAAACTAACTTTCTCAGGAGATGTACCATGAAAAGATCATTCCCTATGAATTTGAATATAAAGCCTTAAGAACAAAAAGCATCCAAAACTGCAGTGATTGCAGCAGAACAGAAAATAGATGACAGGAAGTGAAAGACAAACTGGCATGTGACAGACACCATCTTTGAGACTCACTTCTCTCTCACAGTTAAAGGAAAATGGTTTCATCGTTCAGCATGTTGAATAGCACAGTCATAATGAGCATTATATTATTTGTGTATCTTTGTCGATATTAATGTACACACAGACTTCAACACCCACAAAATGTGACCTGTCAGAGGGGGTGTTATTATTGGAATTGTATTTTCTGACTCAAAGGGAATTTCCCTGCTCATACTGTCATAGCACAGATCACACACAGACGGTGACAGAGAGTCACACAAAACACAAAAACAGAAAAAGGAACTGTGTTACCCAGTGAAGTGACAGACGGCTGTAACCGCGGTCACAAGCAAAACTGTCACCTGGCTTTGGTCAAAGCATAAAGCACGCACGCACACACGCACACACTTCCACTGAACTCAAAGCTTCAGCACCAGTGAAGAAGAACACTGAGACCAGTGGGGAAAACAACATTTTAATCTTTACAACAACAAAAAAAACGTGTAGGTTGCTTGTTAAATGTATACAAACATGTAGGGACATGAGGAAGAATTTCCCCACCAACTCTCAAGTTAATTTGAGGTGGGTTTGAGAAGAAATTTACAGTAATGTCTGAAGTGTAGAGGGAGGAGGTGGAGCAGAGCTGGTGTTCTAATGTCTTGTTTATCTCGTTGGGGTTTTGCTCACTTCATGGCTTAAAGAACATCTCTATATTCTTTTTAAAGTATCAAGTGAATTTGATGGGTTTTCATCAATTGTATAAAATGGTATTTCATTAAACATTTATAGGGCAATGTGCATAAAGCTCATATTAAAAGATTTTTTTTTACAGTTCCCATAATGTGGGAGTCTGGGAAATATAAACAGGAAGTACGCTGTTGTCACAAAGTCGGTAACTGGAGCCTCTTTTTGTACTTTTTTTTAACCTAGAGTTGTTGGCATTTTGCTGAACTGAAATAAGCTGAATTGACCATTAATAGTTCCTCTTTGCGACATATGGATGTACAGACAGCCACCACTCAATTACTTTAATAATGAATAAAACCTAAAATGTGATTTTTCTCAGGCGGGTTCTGGAGTTTTAAAGACTGTCCTTATTCACAATGGAAATCAGAGATAATGAGATCTCAATATGTGCATTATGTCTGTATGTTCACACCTGACTAAGCGAGAAGCCAAAGGAAGAGTTTAAATTCTGACACAAACACATGATTCATATCCCTCTTGTGTCCTGGTGGGCAGATGTGCCTCCGTTTGAAAACCTTTGTTCCACATTTTCTAATTTGTCATCTCATTTCCACAGAACACATACAGACATGGAAAACACACTGGGCGACAGTATAACGAGAACATATTGGCAGCCTAAGTTTACAAGCATCTAAAGCAGTACGGTTTTTATCATGTTACTGTGTTTTAATTAAGGTTAATTAAGGCTCCAGCATATTTGTTGACAGCATCATAAGGTTCCTGCCTCAGTCAAGCTGTTTTAACAGGATGGACAGATTCTACTATTTGTTTTCTGACTTTTAAACGTAGTTAATCAGATTGTACAGTAATTGAAGGGTGGTACTTACGCTGACTTTGAAGGCCTGGACAGTGTTGTCCAGCAGCAGTACGTTGCACACAACTTGTGTGTGCTGCCTGTCTCGCTCCAGCTCTGTCGCCCGGACATTGTAGGATCTGCCAGCAGGCAAGCGGAAGCGCGCGCTCATCACGCTCCTACCAGGGTCTGCAACAGCCAAAGACACAGCAGTGAGGAGAAAACAGTGAATGAGAGCAGCAAGAGGTGAATAAGAAACATGACTGGGGGGCATTATTGTGAATTCTAGCAAAAATATCAAACCGCCTTATTGTCCACACACTGTGCAACACTTAGATGTGCTTCAGGTAATGAAAACGCTCTGTGGTACAGGCTCAATCCCATTACAAAGAAAACAATAAGCCAATATAGAGTGAGGCATGATGCTGTTTTCTTCCAGATGCCTTAGTGAAGGAAGCCACACAGGAAGACAAGCCTGTACAAGCAGAGTGAAGCCGCAAAGACCTACTGCTTCATAAGAAAAGAATGTCAATGAGTAGGCAAGGGGCAGAATCCCTAGCAGGGGATGTGGAAACTGCACAGCGGCTCGGCAATAAAACGCTCAGCAGCAAGTAGAAAACAAAATGAAAATGAGAAAAACAATTCAATCAAAATGTTGACAACCCTCTATGTTTCATCATTTCACTATGTGACTACTTTAATCTTCACAGCATTCTAATGACAAGTCCACTCATCAGGTGTGAGGTTCGACTTTTCGTATGATTCTGAATTTTATCATTTTATCATCATGCCTGGCCGGATTGGCTGACATGATGGGTTGGTAAACTGTGGCAGTGCAAACAATGGCTGAGGGTGCCCTGCCTGCTCATCAGTGGAAACAAAAAACAATAATTCAATCTGAAGCTGGCCCATTTAGAACAAACCAAAGCCCCTTATTACTGAGGCTACGTCTGGCTGCTTTCCATTGCCTCCCTGAACTGCAAACTGCCTGAATATGAATTCGAGTTTACACAGATTAAAAGCCTGTTTGGAGTATTACTTTATGCTACACTATGAGAATCAATAATGAAGATTCTACAAATGAGATATACTGTAACATATTAATTCGTGAGCTTTAGAGATGCTGCTAGACAGATTGTGTTATCTTTGGACACACACAGGCCAGTTGTTTCTGCACCAGTTTCCATTTTATATGCTAAACTAAGCTACCCTAACCAGCTGCAGGTGGTAGCTACATATTTAGGGTACAGTCATGAAAGTGGCATCAGTTATCTCATCTAACCTTATGCAAGGAAGCAAAGCTTTGGCCCTGCACTGTCTCACATGTCAGTTTTTGTGTAGCTGCTGTGTTATTTATTTAGCCATATTCCGTTGCTGTGGGTTTTATGTCCCGTCATCAAAAGCTGCTGTATGTGTGCTAATCGCTCTCTGTGAGTGTGTTTGTGTGTATATACTGTATGCATATGTGGAGTGCTTTCTGTGTGCCTGAGCTGTTTATCATACACAAACCCTTATGGCCACCGGCACATAGTGTGCACGCTGCATATGTGCATGCACACACACGTGAGGCCTGTCGGTGCACCTCCAGACTTTCAAGCTACACGCAAACGTGAGATTACACTGCATCTTTAACAGATGGCTGCAATATGCAGTGTATAATTTATTGCAGACTTTGTGTGATTGTAGTTTGAACACAATATTGTCATTCAACAAAATATGAAGGGCAACTATCAAGCACAGAAAGTACAGAAACAAAGACGGTCGTAACTGTGAAACAGGTTGGAAACATTACACATCTAAAATGGGTATTCATGTATTCACAAAATGTGTCTAAAATTCATCAACAACTACAAACACAACAGTGTGACAGTGAAGAGGTCTGAATGCTTTCTGAAGCCACTGTACAACTACACCTGTTTTTACCATTCACAAACAAATGGTTAGCGCAGCTCAGCAAAACACTGGAAGCAGGGAGAAACAGACACACTCACTGTTCAACAGGAACAGAATCCATGCACCAGCACCTCTCAGGCTCACTAAATAACGTTTCCTCGCATTTGCTGTATCCATACAAAAAACTGAAGCTACTGTAGAAATATCATTATTATTAAATAGCAGAATCAGCACATACTCAAATATAAGTACTCACACTTGTCTGGAATAAAAGGGGTATCGGTGCATTGCACTGATTTTACACATCAAGACCAGATTTACAGCAAAAGGGAGTACGTCTTTGCCCATAAAAACAGTTCTGTAGTGATCCATGATGATGTCACCAGGGCTACTATGGTTAATGGAAAGTTTCACTGTATTTATAGCAGTGGTGTAATTAAGACCATCTCCACTAACTAATGTCAGAAGAAGTTCTTATACATCATTAGCCTACACAGAATAATGCAGAGGCTTTACATCACGCAGTAAATATGAGTGAGGTAATCATTTAGCGTATGTCGGTATCTTGTAAATATCTTGTAAAGGAAAATAATCTGTATGCATCAGATTTAGTGTAGCAGGTGCTTACCACCCCTACACAATTTCTTAAAGAAACTGTGCAACACAGTGGGGGTGTGGAGTTTGAAAGACAAGTGTGTTTACTTGGCAGGAAAGGTGTGACAAAGGGATGCTGCATTACAGAGAGTGTAGGATCCATTGGAGGACAGCTAGCAGGTGACATCTAACCAGATGTGAAGCTGATGATACTATAGGTTGTCATGGTAAGATCAATATACTCTGATTGCCAACAGAGTAGCATGCACCCCACCATGCACGCTGATGCCACAGCACTGTCAGCTTAGGAAACAATGAAAAGGAGCAGAAAGCGATGCTGAGATGAAGCCATGCAGAAGGAGATGAGGGCCGAGGGACACTCTCCTATCACCAGTTCAAGCTGAGAAGGAGCCGTGGACTACACAGATGATGAGCTCTGACATGCACACTCTCTCCACAGGCTGCATCGCCTTCCCTCCCTTTTTCCTGTCCTAACATTTTTGTCTGCCAACCAGTTGAAGACTATTTAAAGACCACAGTACTGGATCATCTCTGTACAGTGCAACCATTTAATCACAGCTGAAGATGTTTTTCTCCAGTTGCACCTTGACATGCAACTTCAAATGATTAGTCTAATGTATAAATATGTTTACAGCCCATCAATGACCAGTCCCAATTCTAATCATCTGTTTTCAGGCTTATTTATGAGCTTATTCACCTCATTTTAAGTTTTGTTCTGTTGTATTTGAATCTCTTTTTTGGTTCCATCTTTTCCTACTGTTTTCTTCACTATCCCATCCTTTTGTCCTGTTTTCTATTGTCCTGCATACTGTTCTCAGTGTTCTATAATTTTCTGCTCGGCTGTGTTCGTTTCAGTGTTGCTCTGCTGAGCTGGACAGGACAGCTACACTCCCCCTGAGAGTACCCTCCAGAACTCCGGAAGCACGCTACCATTATTGCTTCCTGCAGTCAGCAGAGCTTACAAACAGGTCGGAGTGTGTATGTGTGTAGGCTCTTGACCCTAAAGCTTCCCTCACTGGTGGCTCTCCTGACTTTCTCATCTTACTGCCAACACAGGTGTTCCTGTGTTTGTACACAGGAACACATGCCCTTTGTATATCAGGTTGTGTATAACTCTGCTGTGTCAGAATACACACAATGACAAAATTACCAAAACTATCCTTCTTATAGCAAAAGTCTTCAAAGGAGAAGTTACACAAGGAACCCAATCCTTTCCTGATTCGAATATGGGCTGACTACTGAACCCCATATGCATATAGGTATTGGTTTTATACCCCCAATTTCTTCAAGGAAACTCACAATACAGGCTCTATGTTTTATTTCTATCCCTTTGTGATGCTGTGGAACAGTTGGAATAAGAGATGAGCAGTTAGGACTCCCACAGGAGCTGCACATCACTGTTCCACACTGTTTCATAAAGTGGAAACTAGGCCACAGACTAACAGGTGGTCAATTACAGATGTGTGCCACTGTGTGTGTGTGTGTGTGTGTGTGTGAGTGAATGAGTTTGCAGACAGCTTTTTTTGCGATAGTTTAAATAAGAACACAGAAATGAAACATGTACAATTCAGATTTCTCCATGGGCAAGACCCTGTGTAGTATATTACTAATTCTAAAAAGCCTGTTCCTGTTGCACCCACAGTACAGTTGCCCATCCTCTTACCTACCCTTCTATATATGCCTACACCCTCCCTCATTCACCTTTTCCATTTTCACCACCTTTTCCCCTCACAGTATTTGGCTTCACACTCCCCCCACTACCTATGATTCACCCTCCATCACCCACATGCAGCCACCCCAATAGTTCTGCTGTTTTTATATACTGTGGGGCAACAACAACAGCAGGCAAAGTGCTGTTTCATGTCTGCATGTGTGTTAGAAGGATTTAAACAAAGCAATTGTATGCCTATGGGAGAGGAGCAGTGCCAATGAAGTTGCAGCTCTAGGAATGTAGGCAGCAACTGACCTCTGACCTCCTTTATGGGGAGCCATGTGTGGCCCTGGCTGATGGTAAAATCATACGCTGCTGTATGTGATCTGATTGTTGTAACCCAAACAGTACAGTGATCAGTTGCGTTTTGCACTGGGTGCGACTGCGTGGGCCAACTACTAAACTCCATGTATGTTTAAAAGTAAATAAATAAATAAAATGTCACTGTAGAAATGCTCAGCAGATGCACCCATAGCAAAAAGGTCCTTTTGTGTTAGAAGTAGTACTAATCTCTCTAACATGACCCCCAAAAACATAGCAGCACTCACAGCCAATAAACCACAAGAAGATACAGGAAGGAAAGAACAGAGACAGGTGAAAGAGAGGGTGCTACCAACAAAAGAACGGTGAGGAGTAGCTCAAAATGAAACGCATTGTGTCGTTTGTGCTGAATGTGGCTACTCCTGGAAATACTAAGTTTGTAACCTCATCAAATAACTTTAAGCACAAAGCCATAAAGCTTTACAGTGATCACACAAGGCACAAATTATGCAGCGATTCTTGTGTTGTTCGTAAAGTAGCTCCTCTACCCACGTATTTTCAGCACCAAGAGAGCTGAGCTGGGTTCAGGAAAGCCTGTGACATCACCAAAGAGGAGCTTTCCTTTACAAAGTTTAGATCAGACATTTTTCTCCAGGAAAAAAGGTACAAATAAATTCCACATACACAAAAGGCAAAGCATGCACCCAGT